CTGGTTTAAAACTAAACCGAAAGGACAACCACAACTTTTGGGGTACCCTATTAATGACACACACACACACCCATGTTATCATGAGTCATAATTAACTAGCCGACCCCCGCCTGCATGGCCATTGCTTTCCGCTCTTTGGTCGGAAGCCGAGCCAAGCTAAGCTTGAAGCCGAAACCCAGCGGAGAGAACTTGCCATGTGCAAACACGGCACACAACCAAAATACCTCTAATGCCTTGGTGGGAGACACCTAAAACGTATGATGTTGGTGCATAACGCAGCATTGCAGCACTGTTGCCCAGTTGCCAAGGTAAGAAAACACACATTCCTCTTGTGTGGTTGAGTATCTTTAGTGGCGACTGAACAACTGGGAAAAGCGTGTCAGAGCGGCAACCGATATGTTTCAAATTAGGGATCGAGTCCTCCAAATGGTCGGCTTCGTTTTGGTTTGCCGTAAACCGGCACGCAAGGCATTTCCCTTGCGGAAAGACCCGAAGGAATCCATGGCGGCTGCCGTGAAATGAACTGCCCTGAGGAATGTGTCAAACAGGACCTTTTGAGTTCTGCGGCATCTGTCAGACTGCCGGAAACGGTTGCTTTCTTCAGGCAACCTTCAAATGCCAAAGCGGTCAACGCCCTTTCAGAGATCATTAAAACGACGTCGGCGCCGTCACATTGCATTATAGCTGGATGCTCCGTGATTCTTTTCCCCTTGGGCTTCCTAATAAAAGCATCCAGCAAGCGCAAGTTTCTAATCAAACTCGACTGAGTGGAGTCACTGGCAATCAGCCCAAACAAATCCAAACTTGTTGCTTGCCACTGAAACAGGCTTCCAACAAGTAAAAAGTTGTGGATGTCGGGAAAGTTGAGAGGTCGCCAATTCTGTAGACAGAATCTGAACAGCGACACCCATCCTCCCGCCTCAAGATCCCCTTTGCAGAGTGCCTAGCGTACGATTCAGCAGTTGAAACTCTGATCTTGAAATGTCAACACATGTTGAGTTCAACGGGGCCACTCAACACATGAAGTGACCCTAGCACGGACAGGGTTGAAGATTAGTTTGCAGAACATTTTACTCTCCTCTCACCAACACGGATCTCAGAAAGGGCAGCTGAGGCGACATCTTTCACTCCCTGAACCTATGTTGGTTGTTTTGGACGGAACCGGGAACTCGTATTTGGCGGTTGTTTCTGCATCATTTTGTTCTGGTCGGCTCTTGATCAAAACCCCTAAAGCAAGGGGCGCATGCATGCCAATTTGCGGAAAGCGCCCTACTCTCTGCTCAACGATTTGTTGAGAGCATGACAAGTGCAGCATGGGGGACCAAATGGTCACTTTGGACTGAGTGGCCACTTGGCTTTGAAAGGTCGAGTTCAGGTGAAGGCGTGAGCAACCCGGACGACCGGCATGTTCAAGGTTACTGTAGTCCTCCAAAAGCTTCCATGAGTGTTGCAAAAAGGTTACATTAGAATTACTTTCTTTGTCGGTGAACTTGAGGTGAACAAATGGCTTGCTTGCATACCCCACGGCTGCGAAGCCCAACCAGGAAACCACACAAGCAAGCTAGCGACGCGACAGACACGGCGTGTCTCAGCCGCTATCTGTCAGCCTCCGGCTTCTCGTTCTCCTTGGCCTGCAGAAGCGAAACAACCAACCAAACTAAAACCAAAGCAAAACCGATACCCCACGCAAACACTGACAAACCCTGACACCCACAGACACAAACAAACAAGCAAACACACAAACCAAACCAACCCAAATAACAAACCAATTAAACCGAACAATTCAAAAAACAAACAAACAACAAAGGTAAGAGAAAACACACCAACCCAAACCAAACCAGTCACACCAAACGAGAAGGAAGCAAGCAGATAAACATCATTATTCTAAAACTGCGGCCAAGGCAAACCATTTGCAAGTGTGCACAAACTCACCATATGCGTGTCCAAACAAACATGTTGATTGGCCATGCAATTCAGTCTGTGGCTCTGCTGGGCGAGGCTGCAGGGGGATGAACCTGGGAGGTCAAGGCGCAAGCAGCTCCACACGAGCGCAGCCGAGCTCTGCAGGAAGGATTCTACTTGGTCGAGATGTAGGAATCGGCCATCCGCAGCATCACCGTTGGAAAAGGGTCAGCATCAGTCACACTGGCTGCCACGCAAGCGCGTAGAAGGGGGGCCAACGTGTGACAAAAGTTCTGGCTCTGAAAACGCCCTCATTCTTCAAATGCATTCCTAAACGGATCCTTGAGCACCCTGTGAAAACATGGCGCCTCACCAATTTTGGGCGCGTGGATTCCCCGTTCCAGGCTCGGCTCGCCTGCATCTTGAGATCGCCCCAGGCCTGACATGAGCCGCGGACACAATTGCCATGCTTCCCCGAGGCGTCTGGTTTTCGCCAGAAATTTACTTGCCAAGAAATATGAGTGGCCCACCCCTCTTCTCACCCTCGCAAGCGAACACATGGACTACCAGTAATTCTGCCTGCTGCTCACAGCCAGTAGGGCAGGCAAAGGGTTGTTTCCACTCGACCCCATCGGGGGGGTAGTTTGGCAATTGGTAGAGTAGAGGAAAAGTCAAAGGGAGTTGAACCCCAACTGTGAAGTATCCATACGGCTGAACACATACTTGTTGGCTGTAACTCATACTTATTTGATATTGCATTATCACATAAGCCGCCCCACAGATTGTAGGTCAAAAATAAGCCCCCATTTCTAAAAACAAAGAGGTCTGATAACCCCCAGAAGCAGTCAAAAGAATGATCCCAAACGCCAATTTGCTCCCCCGAAGGGTTGATCGTTCCTTTTCGCGGTCTTTTGGAGTGCCCGTGATGGAGACCTGCTGGCAAAAAGGGCGTTCCGCGTGTTGGATGCCTGGGGTTGAAACCATTCTCACTGTTAAAGTGAATCTTGCCCACCAGTGCGAAGCGGATTTGGTTCATCCACAGTATCGAGCCAACTTGCTCCCGGTGTGAATATGAATTGGGGACCTTCTGGACATCATTTAGGTGGGGACGTACGTCCGACCACTTTTGAGGTGGCCTGTTCAGAAATTCAAAGCCATCTGGAAGACCCGGGGCCCAGTGGAACAAGACCACTCTCTCCATCTTTGGTACTTGATACTAAAGGGTTTTACCCTAAGTTGAAAGGACTGGCATCACAGGTCTGGGATAGGGAACTCTGTCACCCAAAAGTGTGCGCTGCATGGCTTTTTAAAAGGGGGACCCCCCAACTGGCAACGGCCTTCCCACAAAGGAACAAAGACATGGCGCCGCTGAAAACCCCGAGTTTCCTCTTGGGTTTCCCTTGAAACCAACCGCCAACACTGAGACTTGGCCACGCACCGACTCCACTCGCCTGCCAGGCGTTCCGGAGCAGCTCCGCATCCTCACGGCGCCTGGCGCAAGGGGACCGTTGGCGCAAGGGGACCGTTGATTTTTGGCCGCGACTCGATGTTCACTCGGTGCTCCATATCCAAAGGGTCCAAACGCGTATCTCAGGTAAAGCCGCGTTAATTTTCCCAGAGGTGATCATAGGTGGTGTTTATAAGAATATCCCAGATGTGCGTATTCTCAAATAATAAAGTCTAAACTCATGGGTATATCACAATGGAATAGGACATACTGTAAAATTGAATACTATTCCTGTACTGATGAAGGCCAACTCGCAAAGCGGACTAACTGCAGCCTAAGAGTGGCTACGAGTGACTATTTGGGTCATTCGGGACCGTTCAGGATCGCACTCTTCCCATGACGCCCCTTGCTGTGGCTCTGAAACAGAAATGTGCCCTCTTCTCACCCTGTTGTACTAGGGCAGTAAACAACACATTAGTTTGGATCCATGTTTTGGACAGTATCAAAGAACCCAAGACGGCAGGCATTTCACTCAGTGGTACTAGGGGAGTGCTTGGACAAGCTAGAAACTATCCACCCCCTTTTGGGTTGATTATTCTTGGGCCGTTCAACATGAATGCTTCGAATTCATTGGCGACCCCCTGGAAGATAAATCTTCTCTTGAAGGGACCTCAAAGGCGGAAACGGGTTTGCATCTAAATTGAGCTGGGGAACCCTCAAAATCAGTGGCGATCCGTTTGTCTGCAAACTAACCCCAGAGACGGCACCGACTAAGAGCAACGGCCACCCCAATGGGTGTTTCGCAAGATAGGGGTCCTCTTTTTGGATGGGCTTAAGCCAAGGTGGAAACCGAAACGAAACCAACGAACTGAAGGACTTGGCTCTTTGGAGAAACGCCCAAGCAAGCAACGCCCAACACCCATTGACTTGCTGTTCTACTGACATGGTCATAAAGGTTTATATAGGCCCTACTGTAACCCCGATGAAACTGGTAGAACCGCAAAATGGTCAAGAGGGGTTGGCCACTCAAATGGCGAACCAAGCCATCACCCGGCCTCCGCAACTTCACCTCCAGGCTTGACTCCTGGTGCCTCCGTCGCAGAACCCGAAGCTCCTGGACATCGGGACTGAAGCTCCGTTTGGTTTGTCTCAAATAAGGGAACCCCAATAATCAATCAGCTTTGGGCTTGTTGTGTATTCACCCTGGGCTCCAATTAGGTGAAAGTGGATTGATTGTTAACAACCCAGCTTAGTCCCCACTTGAGGTTCTCAACGTTCCTGTTGGGGATAGTTTCTCTTCAAATCACCATTCATTTAACCGCCGAACGGGTGGATTCCCTATCATTGAGAACCCCCTCTCAACAAAAGTAAACAAAGCTCAACAAAAGTAAACAAGGCCCCCGCTTTGAAACCAACATTTAGACGCTAAACTTCCGCAGATCGTTTTTGGTTTTCGGCGAACCCCCCTCAACAAAAACAATGGCTGTCTGAGGAGCAAAGCACACAATCCGCATCGAAGCCCCGCGCCTTCTCCGCCTTCTTCGCCTCCGCTTCCGCACTGCTCCGCGCCACCCTCTCAGCTGCGAGCGCCTGATCTGCGCTTGTCTTTTGGTTCCGTTCACATACCCCCAATGGAATTCCCCTCAAAACACAAACACACAAACACTCAAGCACACACACACACAACTGCACGAGCACACGATCATAAACGCACTTGAAAATTCTACAACAACGCCAAACCCTTTTTGGCAGGACGTGAGGTCAAAATTATAACGAATAAAATAAGAGTTGGATCCTCAGGTAAAGGACCTACATCATGGTGAGCTCGTTTTACCCAAGGATTGATGAGCTCGCCAAACATAGGCAGGCCCAATCTCACCTCGGAAAAAATGTAGACTTTTTGTCTACCGCTAAAATGAACTTCCCAAACAGTGTCAAATCTAGAAATTGGAAGAGTGAGGCTTCTTAGGAGAAGTTTGGCATCCTCCAAGAAAAGTACTCTTTTAGGTTTGTTTGGAGGAACTTGCCTGTGAAAACTGTGCCCCTCCGCCCACACACTTTGAGGAGAATAACACGCACGTGTGTTAGGATCTCCTATATGTGCTCCCTTCCATCTGCAGGAAAAGGGAAAATGAAGGCCACCAAAAAGAGCAAACGGGCAAAAAGGTAAAGTCTGCCCATGTGCCGGGGTCGGTTTAAGCCACTCACTCAACAACGAAGGAGGTCCCTCCAAAGGAAACTTCCTCTAAGCAGGGCTCCTTCCCGAAAGCTACAAAAGACCCAGGGATCACGGCTGCTTCTTTGACTGGGTGCAAAATAATGGGTCTGGCCCATCGTCTTTTGGGAATCCCTTTGAGTAAGCCAAACATAAACATGGCTTGCTTAGCACCCAGGAAAGGATGCGAAAGGACTCACCCCTATCCTTCAGACCGAGTGCCTTAGAATCAAAACTGGGAGGGATCCACTCGCCTTCCCATTTTGGGTCCCGGGGTCCCCAAAAGGATTCAGGACCAACACCACACTCCAAAACACAATACACCCCCACCCCAAACAAAAACCTGAGAGCCACCAACCACCCAGAAAGCCCACCCCCAAAAGCCACCGAAGAAAGCAACGCCCCAAGACTGCACCCCATCCCCAACCCCCGAAAACCCCCGCGCCTCCTGCGCCTCTTCGAGGCGCGCAAGGGCCAAGCGCAGCCTTTCGCCCTAAGCGCAAGGGTGGGGAGGGGGGCGTTGGTGAGGGCCACCCAAAGGGACATCTTATGCTGAATATGGTGTACCTTGGGAGGATTTGCGCCATGTAAGCTAAATTGGTATACCTGATGGGCTTTTTTTGGGGAGGTGCAGGGTTTAGGAGAACGCCACTTTTATAAGGCTCAATGTGGATTGAGGTAGGCTTACCTCCGCATCTCGCTAGGTGCTGGACGAGGGAGCATCCGCTTTGAAGCAAATGCACAAGTGCATGTGTTGCATGTGAACGTGGCACACCCCCACACACAATATTTGAAAGATCCGCAAAAGCGACGTAAGGAGATTAACCGCCGGTTCTCACAGCATGGCAATCAAGGTTACGTGGGCCCTGGGCCCTTCTCTGAAAACAGGTACTAGAACCAGCTACTAAAATGGCCAACAACTCACTTGAGTGGATTGGCCACAAAAAAATGAACCCTTACTCACGACTATCATGGTCTTACCAAGAAGTGACTAGTCGAGGAACTCGCTTGGAGTCAAACGGAACGGGCGTTGGTTGCGTTCACAGTGTCGGACTCAAACCTGAAGCTGTTCGTCTGAGAATGAGTGTCAAAATAGGACCCAACACATTGTGGGTTTCCTCTCCTTGCCCCGTACAATAACTACCCCAAAAAGGCCCTCGCAAAACCACACATGGCCATTCCACACGATGATTTCATGTAATTTCTGCCTAAATCTGCTTAACTCCGAACACGTCAAGACCCCCAAGCACACTCTAAAGCAACCCTGCACCTGTCAAACGACTCTCGACCCGGGAGATAACACCCTCCCAATTCGTCAAGCCCTGCATGCGCGAGATCATATGATATGGGCTTGCGACCCATTTGGGCCCCAAGGCTCCTATGGGTCTGAAACACACTATGGACCTGGACTGGACATCAAAATGCAGAGGGGATTCATGTCCACCAAACACTTTGGAGGTTCCAACTCAGAAAAGCGGCATGGCCCTTTTTCCTAATGATGATTCACCTGTTGGGCCAAGTTTGGCCATTGCTGTTGGCCAAATGCCGTTCTCAGCTTTGCTCTCTGCAATTGTGCGTTCTCAGTACACTTTGTGCTGCGTGTGTGTGTGTGTGTGTAGCCTTGGAATGAATGGGGAAGATACCTCTGGATACCAAGTGGCACCCCAGCCCCATTTGGCCCCTGGATTCCTGAAGCCCTGCTTTGTGTGTAGGCTCCGTTTCTTCGCGTCTCATCGCGTTGATCACTGAACATGGATCCGCCCAAAAGGCCGTCCTGCAGCATGACTTTGATTCGCCATTCTGCAAGGTCTGCCAAGTGCGATAAACAAAACATAACGTCATTGTAACCACATGACTTCCACCGTGCCAACACGCCAAGGAACACATCGCAAATTCTTTGTCTTTTGCCAAAGATCCGCTGCTGTTGCCAATTTAATTGCGACCCTGCTCTTGCCTGCTCAACGGGAAAACTAGGGCACCTGTTTTGTCAACTTGCCTGCTGGTTTCTGAAAGAAACACGGGTTTGTCTCTAAATCGGGCGCCCCCTTCGTCATTGGGTGGCTTCCATTTAATTTGGCTTCGCTTCAAACCTGATCCCAACAAGCATTGCCTCCAAACAAGGCACACCCATTTTGCGTTTCAGGGTCCAGGAGTGTTTTGCCTGGGCATGCAGCAAGCTCGGAAACGAGGCACCCAGAAACTCACAACCTGCCTCGGGATCCTGCGAAGCATCCTGAGCGTGGAGCCTGTTCCCCCTTGGGTTTGTGCTTTCAATGGGTCCAACTGGGACCCGAAATGGTATATCAAAATTCGGTGGGGGTTGATGTCCGTTGTCCACCACTTTTACATCAGCTTCCCTCTGATTGGTGGTTTGGATTGGTGATTTGGCAGTTAAGTGGTGGTCTCCCATTTGCCCTCTGCAATAAGCTACAATAAGAACCAGGCGTTCAAGTTCCCAAACCACCAATCCAAACAACCTAAGCGTTGCCTGAATTTGCAAGTCAGGCGCTTCTCACAAAAAAATACAAAAACAAGACAATAGGCAGTTGAACAGTTGACCAGTGACCGAAAGGTGGGAATTTGACCTGACCAATGGTAGGTGCTCACTGAAGTGGATTGGTAAAACGTCCAGACCTGATTGAATACCACAAAATGATATCTGCCCAAGTCTAAACCCCAACTCAAACAGGCTGACCGTTGGCAATAGCTTTTGAAGCATTCACTTTAGGTCAAGTGGTTCCTGTAGGTCGTCCTGTGGTTCCAAAAGTTCAGCCAGAAGGTCATTTACAAACCCAGAGTTCAGGGTTCATACACTCATACTGGGGCATTTGATCTCGGCAAATTGCTACGCACGGCATTTCGGCTCGATGGATAGCTACAGTGCTAATGGTTGACGCAAAACACGACATGAGCGCGCATACACATACTGATCGCAGCACTCTAAACTGAACCAAAGGGCAACGTCGGATATAGCGGGGAGGAAGCGGATTGTCTGCATGTTTGCAGGGGCGGTGATGTGAGTCAGTGAAATCACATGATAGAAAGCAAATGCATACCAGTTAAGTGAATGTCTAATTTGGATGCAGAGATCGTCAACTCTGGATCGCCGCCCTGTCGAGCAAGCCCGGCTTATTGAAGGAGGTGCATAAGCTGCAAGTGAACCTAGAGCATCTTCCATCATCTGGAACCTGATTGGTTGTACAGTGATATGCCGTCAAGCCATCTGGCATCCAGCTCAACAAATCGGTGGCTTGCGCGCCTCAGGCGAAGCGGGTCGCGCCAAAGTCTCCGACGCCCTGTCCTGGCCCAAGGAGCTGCCCAAAAACCAACGTGTGTGTGTGTACGTGTCTTTTTCTCAGGTTGCCTGTTTTGTGGGTGGTTGAAAAAGGGAAACTGAAAGGAACATTTTGCGGCCCTTTTTTGAGACAAACCCATGTGGTTTCTAAGTGGGCTTGCGTTTTGTTTCCTGGCTGTGATGATTGGAAAGAGGGTAGCCCAAACAGGGCTCTTCTGTTGGGAGACGAAAGGGGAATTGCTGTTGGGCTGGGTTCCGTAATCCGCAGGAAAAAAAACACCACGATTCTGTGGTAGGGTTTGTGGAGGAAGCTCCCTTTCTGCTCGGACGGTCGGACCCCAGGGGGTCTGCAATCACTCGCTCGTCAGGAACGTCAACGCTACAACAAGCTGTGGCTATGCCTAGGCATCAACCATAATTTCATGTTTATGGGGTTGTTACTTGAATGGCTGAATGAATGAAGCAAAGCTGGCAGCCTTCAGTCGGAACTCCTTGCAACTTCTCTGGATTGATGATTGTGGTTTGCTTTGCAATTGAAAAAAAAATCATCATGAAAGCCTACTCCGAGGAACAATAGCATGGAACATACAACGGGGATCCCCACAAATCAGAGTGCTCTACAAAGGAGAGAGTGAGAAACCCACTGCAATCAGGAGCCGAGTGTTTCTCTTCATCAGCTATCATCAGCTATCAAGCTCCTCACTTTGTGACACAGCGCTGCAGGTAACAACGCAGTGAGTGTCCGCATGTCCCTCTAACGCTGCCGACGCGACCAAGTGGACGTGGGAAGGCAAGTGATGAAGTGACTTACATGTAGCCAAAAGAAACAGGCCCGCCTGCCCGGGAGAGGGAACGGGTCCAGTCAAAGTTGCCGCCTTGCACGCAGAAGATTGTGCATCCGAGCCGAACTAGGGGCTAATCATTGGGCACCCTTACTCGTTTTCAGGGCTGTCAAACCCCAATAATAATCTAAGAGCCCCTCTTGGAGGGGGTGAAATCAAACTGCAAGAAGCAAACCTTGCAAACTGCAAGTAGTTTCTGGAGGGCTTTGGTCAGTCGGGCGTTTGATCCCATTGGCCGAAATCTGAGTCCTTCTCAAGCCTGCCACCAAGGAACGGAACTTCTTGCGCCGCCGTTTCCGCTCAGATTATGTCGTACAAAGTTTGCAGAACGTCTTGTGGGGCACAGCCGCCCAATGCATCACTTTCTCGTCTTTGACCAGCACTCCTTCTGCTTGGGCCGTGGCCTAGAACCATTGGCCCCAATCAATAGGGACTTGTGGAACAGTGAGGTCACAGTCAAAACAAACCACTCTTGTGCAATGCCCAATCTCTGGCAACCGTCACTAAAGCAGCAACCAAAACCAAACTGGGTGATTTCTGACTACTTGGAGGACGGCCAAGCACGTATCGCTGTTGCTTTGGAATGTATGCCAACGCACTGCGCCATCTCTCTTTGACTCTCAGGTGTTTGATGCCCGTTTGAAATGGGCCAAATCCTAGCTGTGGACGGCAGCTAACCCAAGCGGCAGTACCTCTTCGATACCACACACACAAACAAAAACAAAAAAAGTCGGAAGGATTGAATCCCAAAACCCTAAAACAAAATGTGGCCACCAAAGCCTTTTTGAATGGATGACCACTTCAGTTGACCCTTGCTTCAACATGCCCCGGTTGATGCAGGGAATGTCCCCAAGGAATCTCAAGGGAAGCGCTGGGTATTGCCTCGCGGGTGTCTGGCCAGCGAAACAGAGCCTGCTTAGCCTTGAGAATCTGTGGGTGTTCCCCTGCATGTTCAGCACTGGGAGCTTGTTTCAGAGCCTGATCCGGACCACCCAAGGCTCGCTGCGAACCTACGCGCGCAAGAGGCTGCAAGGTTGCTTGCCCAACCCCCCTGACACTAAGCATGCGCTCACCCACCCTAGCTTGAGCGCATGCGTGCCTGCTTGCGTCCGGCGCTTGCGTTCGGGAAGCGCGCGCGCGCCGCGCTTGTCTCACACCGAAAGCCAAAAATGAAAAAAAACACGGTACGCGCGATGTTTTCCGCAAAGCCTACTCTCAGGGGGCCATGCTTGAAGGGTTTGAGCGGTGCAGGGGATGCAGGGGATGTAACGGATGCTGGAACGCCCAGATGCTGGTGATGCAGGGAATGCCGGGGATGCTGGCGAAGTTTGCGAGGATGCAGAGGATGTTGGCGGGGATGCTGGCGACTGTCCGGGGCGATTTGCAGTATTTACAGTGTTTTTTGAAGGTCGGGCAACGTGGCATCAGAAGCCCGTCGCAAGGCCAGGGAGGCCGGGGATGTTTTGGGGTTCAAGTGTTTGGGCCGGCCTGCGTGCAGGTGATGCAGGCAATGCTGAGGAGGAGCTTGGGGTGAAACAAAACACGTCAGTATAGCCGGGTTGCCCTCGCTCTTCGAGCTGGAAGACACTGGATGTATCAAGCAGGGGTTTGTTAGTCCACGAGCCAGCTTTATTACTTAAACAACCTCTTCACTGGGGCAAATGAGCCAAGAGTTCCGTAAGGCTTGCGGCATACTTCGGGTTCGCGCGAATCGAATCCTGCCTGCGAGTCAGGAAAAACGAAACGTGGCTCCTGGAGTTGATCAATTCAGCATCACGTGGAGGACCTACAGTACATCATGGCTCGTTTTACAAATCAACACGGGCAAAGTATTTCCCAACAGCTGAAAGCTGGCCCTGTCCCGCTCAGCGGTAGGGTCCCGGAGGGCTTCCAAAGGGTTCCAGGGTTCCATGGAGCGATTCATGAAGTGGCTATGCTTGGACTGGGTTTCGGCGTGCCAGGCTTGGATTGGAGTTCCAAAGGGTTCCGAGGGGTCAGAGCGGCTCGGAGCCGCCTTCGGGTTAAAGCTCCCGAATTTTGGGGGCTGTTGGGAAACCACCTGGGCTTTGTAATTTTCCTGCTCCCGCACAAAACCGCGTGTGAGTTTCCAGGTTTGTGGGTAGCTGCTACCTCCCCACTTTCCTGGAGTGATTTCTGCAAATCATTGTGGGCAAACACATGATACAATTCATGAGGGACACATGTTTCAAACACATTGGAACCCAAACTCAAGAGATCCACCGGTCGCCGTTGCCATGTGAATATGCTGCATGGGTTTGGACTGGTGGCTCTGAAGGGGGTGGTTCTTCCCATTCGGTGTTAGGAACCGGGGCAGCAAATCCCCTACCAACTAAAGGCAACCGGGGCATCAAACCTGCGCATTTGGCCCAATTTGCTTGGGCTATATATCGGCTTTTCAGCCAAAGAGGGTCAAGCATGAACAGCAATTGGACAGTCTACTTATGCCGACTTCGACAATGTGAGCCGCAAAATGAAATGCGACGCCTACCTTTAAACAACAAACTAGAAGTTCTTCCATGCAGTCGTGCCATGGTTGTCAGGCTCCCCCCAAAGAGGCGATCCCCCCAAAACTAAAAAAACACACGCCTGAGCCCGAAAACACGGCGGTTCAAATCGACCCCCAGTGGGATCTACGCAGGCCCTGGGGTGCCCTCTACTCCATAAACACCCAGGTCTTGGGGTATGATGTCAGTCGCTGCCTGAGGAGGTACTACATATCAACATCCAGGCGCTCACTCAGACGCGGTTGATGGGTTCTAATGAACGGGTTTCAGCTTGCACCAGAGGACAAAGAAGTAGCATCCCGAAAGGAATCTAAAATGTGTTGGAGCCCCACTTACACCAGGCTTAAAGTAGATGGCACAAATGCCTGTGGGTAGGTCAGTATTGACTAGTTCCAAATTTGGAATCAATTCAAACGTGGGTGGACATGAATCCCATCCCCACCTAAATGTCCATTTTCTCACCCAACGGTAGAGTCGCCCGGGATCTCGTCGCCCGATCCACAGCTCTCCTCGTTCTCCAAGCCCAGAGGTTTTGGCGTCGCCTGGCCGAAAGAGCGAGAGAGAGATGGATCTAGACGAGTACATGGGATTCAAACCATCCAATGGGGCTCATATAACCACCTCACTTGCTGAGTGGATGGCCTAAAAAAAGTCCAAACTTTATATTTACCACTAAAATGGTCTTCCCAAAAAGTTTAAAGTTCATGAACTCAGGAAGTGAGCCACATTCTTCACCTTAAGGATTGTCATCATCCAAATTGGGTTGACCAATCTCTCAATGGGGTTGAACCCTAGGGTGCACGGCGAATGCAGCTTGCCAAAAGACAAATTATACACCCTAGCTCCTCTGCGCGGGACAGGCATCTTGTCCCAGCTCGGTACAGTGAGCCGTGGTGTCACAACGGGCCAGGCCATTTAGTTTGGCTTGTCCAAAGCGGGCGCCGAGGATTAGTCAGCAGAGAAATCCATGCTGCAAGCGAGATCGGTTCGATAGGGGACGTAAGCACACGACATGTCTAGGTGCTGGCACACGCATCTCTCTCCCTTTCCCTCTCCGTCTCCGTCTCCCTCTCAATCTCGCTCTCGCTCTCCCTCTCGCTCGCCCTCTCTGTCTCTCTCTCTCTCTCTATCTCTCTCTATCTCTCTCTCTCTCTGTCTCTCTCTCTCTCTCTCTCTCTCTCTCTTCACGACCTATTGAGTGGTTTGCCCTGCGCCGAGATCACTAAAGGTCAGGCAAGAACTGATCTCTTTGTGTTCGTGTGGTGGCAACAAAAACATCCGAAACCGGCAGAGACGAAGCAACGGAACAAAAACCAACACAGACCATGTTGTGTGATTCATGCGATACCAGACCTTCTTGAGCCTCAAAAGCTGTGGAAGTGGGTGGTAGGTAGTTCTCACCCCAGAAGGTGGTTTCGTATCCCAATGGCACCAACATTTGAATGCGATGTGGTCAGCCCGCTCAGTCGGCGCAAGCGCCATAAATATTTAAGTCACTGCAGATGTGGGCAGACCATGGCATGCTGAACTTGGCGTTACAAATGCAGCCACATTGTTCTCCGGTATTAACAGCTTGAACAAGAGACCACAGCAAATTATGTTTGAATTTATAGGACCTTGACCCCCCCTAAAAAACAAACAAACACAACAAGTTGTTTCTGTTGGTTTCCCTTGAAACACAGCAAATATAGGGGTACCCTCAAAAAAGGAACCCCGAATGCACTGGGACAGTTGGGTCTCGATGACATCGCGCGAAACTGGATTTTTGCGACAGAAGAGGAGATGAACTCCAAACCCGTGCCCCAACCTTTGTGCGGCCGCTTCGGGTCCTCCTGTGTGCAACGCAACTTTGCTATGAACCAAACGGTTCACTGCAGCTGTCAGTCTGTGGATTCTCTGAACGCGGTATAAGTCTCGTGTGAGGCGCTGATGTTTCCTGATCACGCGCCGAGCGCCTTGTAGTCAGCCTCAGCATCGCAGCCAAGGCCATAGTAGTGGTCGACTGCGAAGCAATAGCTCACCTTGAGCGCGAACATCACGGTTACGGGCATCATGTCTTGGGAGAGCGGGTGCAGGACCGCCAGTGAGAACATGAAGCACACCATCAGGACGCCGCCCACAAACCTCTGCACTCCGCCTGCCTTTGGCGACAGGTTCACGATGCTGGCGACCACGAGGACGCAAACGTTCACCAGAAGGCACGCTTGAAACTCTTCTCCCGAGGCCGCGTGCCAGCAGGCAAAAATGGCGATCAAATGCCAGTGCACTGCGATGAACGCCCAGCGCCGCCGTGCGCTGCTTGCGTAGTGGTCATTGGTGCCGCGAGTGAGGTTTCCAACACTGCCGGCAAAGACGTCCGCGGCCAGGAAGAGGCCGAGCCAGTAGCGCCATATTGGCACATCGAACGAGGAAGGTCCGTACGCGACCGCCTGCGCAGCCGTCGCGACGAACGCGACCAGGAAGACCGCCGACAGCTCCTGCCACGTGGACTCCTCGCCAAGGAACTCATGCATGCACTCCGGAACTGCAACCATGCTGTTGACAGTCGCGAGAGGTGGCGGACGGACTTCCACGAAAGCAGCTTTGGCTAAACAATCATAGAGTTGTTCACCAACCTCAAGCAAGAAATTGAGCCCAAAAGGCAACAATCATCGTGAGCCCCAAATCGGATTGCGAACCAACACCTTTATACGGCCATGAGTCAATTTGCCCGGATCAACGGTGGCCACCAAAAAGGAATGAGACGACCCAATGCTGCTTCGTTTGAGAAAGCACTTGTGGGGGTTGCTTTAGGTCGAAAGGAAACACCCATTCCGTTTTGGGGCAGTAAGGCTTTTTGGGCTGGTGGCAGTCTTCAAATCCATGCAACAAACACATACTATGGGGGAAACATGGGTATGTACTTGTATTATCGTGTAGGCTTGCATATATATATATATAATAGAAGTAATAGTAATAACAATAATAAAAATAGTACTAATAATAATACATAATAATACTAAACAACAAATAATAATAATCATAATGATAATCCTGATAATAATGATGATGATAATGATAATAACAACAATAACAATAATAATAATGATAATAATAACAATAATAATAACAATAATAATGACAATAATAAGAGTAACAATAATAACGATAATAATGCAAATAAAGTATAGCAGCACTGGGCATTCTATTAAGCAATACAAAAGCCTACAACAGAAGGATACTTGAGACACACTAACTACTGTGGATGGACGAAATTCTGCACCAGCTTAAACCATGGGAAGCCACAGTCTGTTGGTATTTACAGGAGAATCATCATTCCATGGTTTCTTAGGGGGTGCAGGATTTTGTCCATCCACAGTAGCAACGTCCACTCTGCCCAGAGCTAAGCGACTCTGGGGAGGGCCGGCACAGCGGTGACCAAAGGCGCCTTTGGTGACGCCTCAAACTTCACCACGCGCTCCTTGGAGGTAAGATCCACACAGACCTGGCAGTCAACATGTGAGCGCCCAAACGGCTCTGGGCAATAACTAGCCCGCAATCTGTGATAACAAAGTGGTTGTTTCCCATCCCTACTCTGTCACTTTACAGGAGGTCCCACCCAAGTTTCTACAACTATGCCTGGCAGCGAGTCAGCAGCCGCGTTTGACGGAAGACTGTGTCTTTGTTGTCCCTTTGGATAGCTCGAAACATAAACTCAAAGGAAAAGAGTAAGACATTTTGTGGTCACCGTCTTGATGGCTGTGCCTGGCTTCAATGCCAACGAATCGCAAGAGGCGGGGCCCTCGCAGCCAATCCAAACCTGAACTGGGAGGCAATCATCAGGGTTTCATACAATCACCAGGGACATTCACCAATAAGCAAATGGTGATGCTTCATAACACAAAGCGGAAAACATAGGAACGCCCGACAGGCCGGGAAAGGCACCTCCGGAAAGTTTTTGATCCCAAGAGTTACTCACTTACGTTCGAGAGTTGCCAAACAAGTCGCCCCAGGTTGCCACCATAAAGGGGGGGTTCAGTGGAGCTGCTAAACAACTGTTGTATAGGCCCAACTTGGGTAAGTGAGACTTCACATCGCCCAAGGAGCTCGGAAATTGAGCTGGACCCCTGAGCTACTCATTTCGCATGGGTTTGGCCCCACCGCAGCTCCAATCCGAATGAGGGGCACAAGTGTTGACCCAGCCTTTTGGGGGTATCATGTGAACCCCTGACTAAAACAGGAGGTCTTTACATGTCTTTACCCTGGAAGACTAGTTGTTTCAAAATGCCAAAAGTGAGTATTGGGCGTGTGGAGTTCCTATGTTTGCCGTCTTGGCCGTGCGTGTTCCATGTAAGAATGGGTCACTGAAAGGACCCGACATGCGCGCTGTCACGTGCTTCGACCAACCATGTTCGAAGAGCCTCACATGGTGGATATCATACGGTGTTGTTTTGACATGGGTGAACTCCCAATGAGTGGTTTGTCCATTTGGGCTTCCTCCAAGAACCCGAAAAAGGGGGCACCCACATACATACATATATAAATATATGAGCAACCGGCGAAACCTCTTGTATAGCCATAGGACATCGAGTAGCGAGTATCGTGTTTTTTGTAACCCTACCGTTCCACAGTGTTTTGTGCATCACAAAAACGCAGGCGTATTCGAAGCCGCTCAGCTTATTTCTTATCTAGGATGACGAGCTCGAATCGGTGGACGAGCTGGAAGTAGAAGAGGATCCTTGCAGCATGCGGGCGACATGCTCACGCCGGAGCTTGTTTCTATCACGCCGACGGCTTACCCGGGCTTCTCTCTTGGCCACTTCCTGCTCAAAGTTCCGGGCCTGCCCATGTAGTCGAGATCTTCCTTGAGGTAAAAGGTCTTGCTGGCACTCCTGCTTCCGGGAAAGGCCAGTATGTTCGTGGCGGCCCAAAGGTAGAGGATTTGTGTCCCAATTGCCTTTGCCAGTGCCCCAGAATCCGCGTCGCCAGTCGGCAGGGAGTTCACAATCTTCCACGACAAAGTCGTCAATCTCCACCGAAACTGGCATGGAGCTAAACACATGGTTGAAGATCCGAACGCCCAACGGCGTTGGCTTTTCCCGAGTGTCCAACTTGGAGGAGAAGCAGTAAGACCTTGTGATATTGACATTGGCGGGCACCAAGCGCTTTGCTTCCTTTGGCACGACGCTTGATTTGTCCAGCAAGACCTCTATGCGTGGAGAAGACGGGTCTCGTTGCAGATGTTCGCGATTCCCACTCACGAGCACATCACGCAGATCCTCCAGCGACAAGATGTCTTTCTGGTTGCGCTTTGCGGACTCCATGTAGGTTGCCATCCAGCCGAAAAGTCTATCGCAAATACTTTTGCTGTGCTTTTCACACCCGAAATGTACCTGCACTTCGCATTGCCACGCACGCACCATAGTGACGCAGTGGTGGTAAAAAGGCTCTCGTACGCTCTGTAGTGCGGGCCAGGGTCCGAAATCAGAGCAACGCGGTCGACACTTGGCTCGCCCCTTTGCCTGGAAAGCACCATATCCAGCAGCTGGTTTGTTCTGAGGCATGTGTGGTCCAGGATATTGCTGATCACCAAGCAGTACGTTAAAGAAACTGGCTGACCTGCCCGGTGGTCCGCAACACAAGCGCCCCAAGCGCTGATCTCCATCCTTGCCGTTGCGTAAAACTGCTCTCCAGAAGCGCAATGCGAGATGGGAAGTGAGATCAACTCCTTCCAGTCTGAGAGCACGGACAAAGTCTTCTCTGGTGGCGCAATTTGCAACTCTCTCAGAACCGGCGACTGATGCTCGTTGGCAGCTTTGTGGTGGTTGTAGCTAAGCACCAGTTTCAGAACTGAGCGGAGCTCTAGACCACACGCTGCTTCAAGTCCGTGCAACTCCACCCGGCGCCTCTGGGGAAAGCTGCCCCCGCGGGCACGTAGCGCGTGTTGGCCGCACGGAAAGTCTGTGCCCCGGTGCTTCCTGCAAGGGTGCTTCTCGACGTGTCGAGAGATGTAATGCTCCAGCTCCTGCAGCACCACCGCAGGCCGGTCCGCAATATCGCGGACTGCTGCATAGGTGTCCCAGGCAGCAAAGTACTCCGGCATCATGGTCTCCAATTGCTGCCGCTGCTCACCCATGATTTTCTGCATCATTGGCAGCACCTTTCTTTCAAAGTCTAGGCAATATTGGCACATATCAGAGGAAGTCCTCGGCCGCTTAAACTGACACAAGTGCTCCCTCATGATGCGCCGGAAGGTGCGTTCACTCATGGTGCGTTCACAGTGCTCTCGAAGATCGTGTTCGCCATGCGAGTCGAAGTCCGGCTCACCGTCCAGTCGCCAGAGACATCTTTGCATATCTGCGAGGACTCTTGGCTGAACTTCGCGCGGGCAGCTGCAACCAAGGCAGGGTCGTTCACTTTAGACGGTCGCCCGCCCCGCTTCAGAACAGCTTCTCCTGGCTCTGCAGACGCATTGGACCATCGTGCCTTGCCGCAACGGTAACCCAACCTCAGCACCTTGTCTCGATCCTCGAACGTGTCCCGCACAACTCGATCGATGTGGTCTCGCGCTTGGCGGCATGGGCCCGCTGGAGTGTTGACCTCGAAGCCAGGCGTTGCAGCAAGACCAGTCAAAAGACGCTCGCGCTGACTGCAGTCGTCCGGTGCTGGCGCAGCAGGCATCTGGGCCCTGACTGCGTCAGCAAAATTCGGCCATTTCTGCAACTCTGCAACTGATCTGGCCAGCACTGTAGCTGCATCTTGCGCAGAGGCGAAGCCTTCCAGGATATCAATAATCTTCTGGCTGTGCCTCTTCTGCTGTTTTTCCCCACGCTCTCCAGGGGCGCAAACCGAGGTTGCTTTGCAGCTGGGCCTTGAGGATCTGGCAGTTCAACGGCAGGCTCTCGGGCTTGCCACGCGCTTGCCTCCAGCAGTCGCTTCGCTCGCACATCCGCGTTGAGCTTTGGAGTTGTTCTGCAGCTTGTCGAAGAAGAAGCGGCCTCCTCTGCAACACTGGCCGTTGCCTCTCTCGCTGTATCTTGTAGCTGGGAGCGTATAGAACCCATGTCATCTTGAGCGTGGTCAATCCACCACTGCTTCTTCTCCGGCGCCAGCACGCTCCACCTCTCCTGCGTCACCTTCTTCTTCAGCCAATTTCTCTGCTCGAGCGTCAGGCCCTCGCAGCGCACCGAACTGAGCCTTCCTTGGGCAAGCCTCTTTGGCTTCCTCTGCTAGAGACGGGTTCTCCGCCTGGATCCATAGGAAAAAGTTGTGGACGGCCTTCTTTTCAGTCTCTTTGCGGCCCATGAGTTACAAGCAGTCAGCTTTCTATACTTCCCGGGTCCTAAATGGGCAACTGCCCACGTGCAGCGAAAAAGTGCGCAAATGGTTATCGTTAGATTATCGTTCTGGCTATCGTTTGGAACCGTCTTTGCTTTCCGAAAACAAACGGCTGACTTACAGTCTTCTTTATAAGGTAAACTAACTGCAGTGCATTCGTCGTGATAGTCTTGCGCGTCGCACTTGTTACTCAAAGCTGCAAAAGCCGCAGACATTTGCAAAAAGAGACGACAAGCGTCTGCCACGCAGGGTGACACAGAGAGTCTGAAATCTTCGCCAGCTTGAACCATCGCCTTCTCTGCGCCCCCGTTCACTCTTTTTCCCCACACAGCGTTGCTGTGGTCTTTTGCTCGGCTGGCAACGGCGTGGTGCCATTGCGCTGCAAGCATTCCCGCAAACCCATCAGTCATCGGTCAACATCAAACTGAGCCACTACACAAGAAAACAACACGGTCTCAACATGCAGTTAGTCGACGTCGACTGCTGACTGACCCTCTGTGCAATCAATGCAACCACAAATGTCCAGGCTAGCAGCCTGCAACTTGGATCGAATTTCCCAAGACTTGAGGAGCATCAAGCGCTGAGCACGCGGCACAGCGCTAAAGATGTGAGCGTTTCTCAGGAGCTTTAAAAGGGAACAGGATCTACCACAGCTGCAGCAAACACCGCCGTTGGCTTTGACATTGCCCTGCCCACTGCGGCGGGTCATCCATTTCGCTTGGTGCTTTTCGGCACCACAAATAACACAATTGGGCTTCTCCTCACGCCCGTAAGACTTGCCCAAAGGGTTGCCTTGCTCTCCATGGCCAAACCACTCTTCAGCGTCCCTTATCTCTTTCAGAAGCTCTGGTGGCACAGTCAGCTCGACCTTTGTCTTCAAACGCAGCCGCCGTTCCCAGCAAGGCTGCGCGGACTTCTCAGGCGAACTCTGAGGCTCAAGGAGTCTCTTGCCCGGGGTGCGCGCCAGCGCCTCATCTTGTTCCCCTGCGCAGTCCTGCAAGTTCCACGCGTTCACGCGCACAAAAGCGAAACCGCCCAGTCCTGCGGAGCGCCATAGTGAAGGCTAAGCTTCTTCTCGCTGTCCTGCGCAGCGCATGCAAAACAATCTTGGCCCGAATTCAAAAACCAAAGCCGTGTCCTTGACCACCGGTGCAGCAGCACCGTCGCGAGAACTTGGCTTCTCCTCACCGTCCTGCGCGGTGAGCGCCACCAGTTTCAAGTGCAAACGAAACACAGTCCTGAACCACCGGCGCAGGCGCCCTGTCACGCGCGAACTCCCCACCGTCGTGCGCAGTCTACGCAAACAAACCTTGGTTGACAACAAAGCCGAGTCCTGAATCCTGAACCACCGGCGCAGGTGCCCCGTCTTGAGCACTTGGCTTCTCCTCACCGTTCTGCGCAGGGTGCGGCAACAAGCTGCCAAGTTCTAAACAAAGCTCGCAGTCCTGAACCACCGGCGCAGGTGCCCCAGCAGGAGCACTTGGCTTCTCCTCACCGTCCTGCGCGGGGAGGGCACCCAATTTCAAGTTGCAAATGAAGCACAGTCCTGAACCACCGGCGCAGGCGCCCTGTCAGGAGCACTTGGCTTCTCCTCACCGTCGTGCGCAGTCTACGCAAACAAACCTTGGTTGACAACAAAGCCGAGTCCTGAACCACCGGCGCAGGTGCCCCGTCTCGAGCACTTGGCTTCTCCTCACCGTTCTGCGCAGGGTGCGGCAACAAGCTGCCAAGTTCTAAACAAAGCTCGCAGTCCTGAACCACCGGCGCAGGTGCCCCAGCAGGAGCACTTGGCTAATTTCAAGTTGCAAATGAAGCAGGTGCCCCGTCAGGAGCACTTGGCTTCTCCTCACCGTCGTGCGCAGTCTACGCAAACAAACTTTGGTTGACAACAAAGCTCGCAGTCCTGAACCACCGGCGCAGGTGCCCCAGCAGGAGCACTTGGTAATCCCCCAACCGTCCTGCGCAGTGAGGGCACCCAATTTCAAGTTGCAAATGAAGCACAGTCCTGAACCACCGGCGCAGGTGCCCCGTCAGGAGCAGTTGTTAACCCCTCACCGTCCTGCGCAGGCTGCACCAACAAGCTCTCAAGTTCAAAACAGAGCCCACAGTCCTGAACCACCGGCGCAGGTGCCCCGTCGGGAGCACTTGGTAACCCCCCACCGTCCTGCGCAGGGTGCGCAAACAAACTGTCAATCAAGTTCAAAACGAAGCTCACGATCCTGAACCACTGGCGCAGGCGCCCTTTCACGAGCACTTGGTAACCCCGCAATGTCCTGCGCAGTGTGCGCAAACAAGCCTTTTATAGTTGAAAACAATGCTGAGCCTTGAAAGAGCGACTGCGCCCCACCACCACCACCACCACCACCACCACAACCACCACCCCCACCACCACCACTGCCGCACCAGCAGAAACGGCAGCCGAACCACCCAGCCGTCTGCCCCAAAACCAAGACCCGCCAGGTCCGTCAAGAAGTTCTCAAAGTACCTGAGCAACACGCGGACAGAACAAAGCGCAGCAAAACAAACGGGGAAGCAAAGCAGGCCCGGCAACTCAGCAAGACGAGCGACCGAAACAACCGAGCAACCGAGCGACTCGATCAACCCGACCGACGGGGCGAGCCCGTGACCCAACACGAACGACAGCGCCCGACCCAAAGCCAAGGCGCCGCTGGTCCTGCACGATGCCGTTGAGGAAGGACCTGAGCGCCCACGAAAGAAGGGCCGAAGAAAAAACACGGCCCAAACGACGGAACGGCCGAGCGACGAGCAGCGACCAACGCCGCCAGCACAAGCACCAGCACCAGCACCAGCGCCACCACCAGCACCACCACCACCACCTCCAATCGTTGGACCCTAGCCACTCCCAACAAGAAGTGCCAAAAGGGCCAACCTATCCTTGAATCCATTCTGCACGGCCGCTTTGCGGCTCCGGAACTGCTGCCCTTCTGGTGAAATCCAGATTCCTCAGAAAATGTGGGACATTTCGCTGATTCAATGTGCGTGGAAGGAGCAATCATCTTGCAGCTTAGGCGCTGTACGTGTCCCCGGCATGCAAGCCGGAGAGCCGATAGCGGGTGCTCACTGTCCATGACATGCTGTGAGTGGAAAAACGGCTCACAAAGACCGGCAAATGCACTTGTGGGTGGCCCGTACACAAAACATGTTTACTTGAGGTATCGTTTTGTTTTTGTAACCCTATCGTTTCGCATGCGTTTGGCACATCCTACCATACATGTTGGTATGTCATGTCCAGCCCTTTACATATTGGTCTTCCAGAGGTTTTGGCGGACGCTCATATATATATATATATATATGCCCCTTGAGTCAACGAGTGTCCACATGGGGGCGGTTTCCCTGGGAAATCCACAGCCTGAAATCCCCGGGCGCAGAAGAACGTTGATATATACCTCACGAAAAGAAGTCAAAGGAAATTTGCACCCTGGATATTTTAGTCCGTTTAAGTCCAGACGTTTGGCTTGCCACTCAACTTGCCTTCCAAACAGTAATGTATATAAAGGGACAGCAAGCACCTCCTGTTGCCCTGAACACTGGACCCCAGAATTCCAAGCCGAAGCATGTATCACCCATCCGCCTTCCGAGATGGGGACAGCGCCTGGCGAATTCGGACAAGTTCAGTCCTTCGGAAGGCCCAGCGAGATGTACGCTGAAACGATGGCACTCAATTCGAGCCAACCAGAAACCAGTCGTTTTTACACAAGCAAAGTGACCTGCAAAAACCAGAAACAAAACGGCCGGGTGGGTATGAAGGCCAGGGCCGGATCTAAATGTTGTTTCGTTCACCAAACACTTTTCCGTGGGTTCGTTAAAAAAAAGGCAAGGCCGAGGACCTGCAAATGAATTGCTTTACCATCGGCTTGTTTTAAAACGAGCGCCAAACACTGGAGGCAAAGGAGCTCAATATGCGAATGGCTTGGGAAACCCCCTTCAGAGTCAAGCGTTGGCTCGTTTCAAGCGTTGGCCCCTTGGTTTCGTTTAGGCTAACCCCAACAAAGGTAACCTCACAACCGCCCCCCCAATTGAGACATCTGCGTTTTGATTCACAGATCTGTGCTATGTGTTATTGGTCTTAGTATTTGTGGGCTCCGCCCTTCTCACTTCGTGGCTTGGCCCACAAAAGCCAGAAGGAATTGCTTCAGGTTGACCCTTGAGAGGAATATTCCCACTAATAGAGGGGTATTCCCTCCAAAAGTGATGAATTCCAGAGGGGGACACCCCTCGATTCATCCAGGGGTGGGTCTTGAGGGGTATCTGCGGTATCTGTTACCACACCTGGCTTTCCGATCCAGTCCAGAACTGGAACAGTGACATGTCCCTCGCTCTTTTTGGGATCCACCGGGCGTTTTTTCGAGAACCGGGCATTTCGCTGAAGGCTTTCCGAACCGAAGGATCTCTGAAAGGAATCCGCCGCAAATTCCAGAGCTCCAGACAAAAGAATTGGATCCCCAAGGACATGGATGTCGCTCGGACTCCCGGATCGGACTCGCCACCAGACGGAATGAGGAAGCTATAGATAAAGTCCTGAACTCCAGCAAAAACCGGGAAAGCATAGGTGGGGTAGAGGGAGAGGGCACGGCCGCACTGCCCTCACTCGGGTACAAGCTTGCACCAAGCATTTTGAAAGGTCCCAAGCTAAAGCTCAGCTGGATAACCACTGTGAGAACACTTGGGGTTGATTCTGCCCGGAATCCACGGAGCTTGGGCGTTCCAGTGTCACTTGCAGGGCTCCCTTGGCTTAGGCCACAAGTCTCAGGGAACTCTTTGGTTTCCCTTGAAGAACAAAGAAGGCTACCCAAAGCTACGACATGGGCACCGCTGATGGTCTGTGGGCCCTTTGATTAGTCCCCACCTCTGCACTTTCGCACTTTCGATCGAGTGGCGAACCTTTACCAATCGGCCTTAACAAGTTGAAAGTCTGGAACAAAGAAGGCACACTTCCATTTGCTTAAGCCCCCGGAGCACAGCATATGTCCAGTGATAACAATTCCCTTTCAAACCAACAGGACATAAAACGGGTGCCGGATCCCTTTCGCCTGGCTGCCCGGAGTAAGCTCCTGAGCATAGAAACCCGCGAGTTTCTACGTGGGAGTTCCAACAAAAATCCCACCAGAAGCCAAGATGTCATGCAAACAACTTGCAATGCCGTAGTTCGTTTCTTAGAGGATGAATTCCTATTGAGCTCCCGTATGCAAATATGGTTTCCCTCCGTTCCAATAATCATGGGTTCCTCGTTGATTTGCCGTACAGGAATGCCTTCCCTTTGATTACTTCCCTCTTTCCCAAAAGGTTTCTCTTTGACTCCCCATAAAATATGGTGCTTCTTCCTTGTCCCATTGAGACAAAGGCTTCGCTTTGATTTCCATGCAAGAATAGTTGATTTCACCTACCGTCTGGAACATGGCATCATGTTCCCCTACAAACTGATTTGCCATTCATTTCATCTCTTCTTGGAAGAAACTTGCTATTTGAATTCACAACATGTGCCTTCATTTGTGCATTTGTGGCATGTCCTGCTAAACACTGTGTTCGATTCAAGAATGTGTTGGCTTTGATGTCCCATGAAACAAGGTTGACCGTCAATCTCCACTTCAGAATGGTTTGCCTTTGACTTCCCTACAAACATGGGTTCCCTTGCAATTTCTGCTGTGCAGTTCTCGTATCAGCCTTTTAATCCTTGGCCAACACGTGCTGGCCAGAACGTTAGCTTAGTTGTTGCAGCCCACGGCCACCCACCAAACAGAGACAAAAAAAACTCCAAAATAAAACAACCATGCCAACAACCGTGCTGTGGATAGACAAACTTCCATCTCAACACTTGGCTGGAATTAGGACCCCAACCAAAAAACAAGTTAGTGGAAAACAAAAGGGTTCCCGAGAAAAAAAAGAAGAAAAAGAAGAAGAACAAAGGAGCTATATAAATAGAACTGGTGCCTGTCGTGGATGCTGTCCATGAACCAGCCAACTCTGCTTTAGGGGGCTCTCTCCAATGCTCCTCCCATGGAAAATAAGAGACGGTTTCTGCCCAGTGATACGAAATGTAGAACAACTTGTAGCCTCTCACGTGGACCATATTTGTGTGGGAAACCACTAAGAAAAAGAAGACAACAACGAGGGGAATCCACTGAAGGAGGGGACAAAAGAACAATCTCGTTGTGGTGTAGTTTGGTTGTACAGATTGCGAAAACGACGTGCACAAATTGAACGGGGGTTGTGCGATATGTTAAAGCCAAGTCAAGTTATGAAGCACAGGTGAATACTTCCTCGGTCAACGTTCAAGCCTCAACCTGGGACTTGTGTCACGTTCTTTCTTCATCATTTTAGTCAAGGGCAACGTGTAAAACGCTTCCAAACATAGACCCAGAAGAATGTCCGTGTTTGAGGGTACCCTTCTTTGAAGCCTAACGATTTGGAAGGGAAACCTAAGGGAGAGGTTTCCACGCCTTCCAGGTGGGCGACAGCGCCTGTGCAGTCACCTGCGAGAACGGGCAAGCGGGAGTCCCACTGGGGCAATTTTTGCGGACTCTCAAACTACCCTTAAACAAAGGAAACATCTCTAAGTTTGGGTCAACATTCCATTTGTTAGGGACGTTTGAGGCTCCACGACGTTCCCTTTGTTCAGTTTCATGTTTTGCCTAGCCTGAACATGGGTTGTCTGAAAGATGAGTGGGGGTCCCTTTTGGGTTCCCTTCAAACAATCCCCAAACAGCGCAAACAAGGCGGCCAACATCCTGGTTCAGGAACAGGAAACCATCCTACTGACTACCATCATGCCAGCTTAAGGCTGCAGAACAAACTCAGAGTGTCTTTCAGCTGGCCGCAGCTTGGTCGGGCAAGCAGAAACAAGAATGCTGAAATGTAAAATACCACCACTCACTTCCATTGTTGACTGGCCAACATATGTATGAATGTTGTTTACCACTAAAACGGTCTTGACAAACAGTATAAAATCCATGATGTCAGGAGTGGCACCGGACAGACTCAGCAGGTGACTCGGCACAGAAGATCAGTTCAGCTGGCGGACCAGTTTGATTGACTGTAAAAAGCAGACATCATGAGCCAGAAACAAGCAAACCTCAAGGGACCTTCATGAGTCAGTCATTTTTTAGGGGGCCCCAAAAACGGCTTCGGTTTCCTTTTGGATGCCAATTGTTTTCTTTTTTAAATGAAAGTGTGGGTTCGCCCCGCCCCGAAAAAGACAGACCTGGGGGCTTCGCTCCTCAAACCGGAAAACCGGACACGTCCCTGCCTGGAGCTCTGAATTCATCGCGAGCACTGCCTACCGATCAAACGACCGCGAAACCGAGCGACCAAAACACGCAGCCGGCTCCCCAAGCCTTCACATGGGTAGTGTGCCAACATACCCAGGGGGAGGACTTCAGAAATTCAAATCGTCGTGTTCCGTTTGGTTACCCTTTTAAACCATCCAAAAAGCTTTCTATCTTGCTACCCACATTTCGCCCGAGAGTCGTCACTCTGAGTTCGCGACACCCCAAACAAATGGTCCAAAGGCCTCCCATTGGATGAACAAGTCAACTATCTGCTGTCCCCTGAAAAAAACAAAAACAAAACATGTTCAGTATATTTATAAGCAAGCTATTCCAATTGAAACCGACAGGGGACAAATAATAACAATAAAATAGTCTTAAACAAATGGAAATTAAGAACCCCTCAAGAAGAAGACCTGCAACGATCACTGGTGACACAGGCATGGCAATGGCCTCATCCCTCCAGCCAAGGAAGCACTGCTTCAGCGTCGGCTCCCTGACGGCGGGTCTCGCCACCCCATGGAAGCCCGGCTGCGTACAGTTGGACCAAACACTTGCCATGTTGCGTCTCTACCGCCCAGAAACTAATAGATTTGAGGGCAAAATCGGGTATCTACCCACTGCACATCCAACAGGTCCCAGGAAAGAATGGTTGGGGAAGTACAGCTGGACATTTGAGTTGCAACTTGGTGCTAAAGTGGCGCACCCCCACAGGGCTTCTTGCCGCGCTGTTTTCTGGCTGGGACTGTTCCTTTCTAACCTTCAACCCGATGTTAACCGGGTTTCAATTGCAACTCAATTCGTGA